AAAAAACAAAAAATTCAATCATGGATTACAAAAAAAAACAAACATTTCGATCATGGATTACAAAAAAAAACAAACATTTCGATAATGTATTACAAAACATTCGATCATGGATTACAAAAAATTCTATCTTGGGTTACAAAACAAAAAAAAAAACAAAAAATTCGATCATGGATTACAAAAAATTCTATCATGGGTTACAAAAAAACAAAAAATTCGATCGTGGATTACAAAAAAAAAAAACAATTCGATCATGGATTACAAAAAAATCGATCAAGTATTACAAAAAAATCAATCATGGATTACAAAAAAAAAAAAAAAAAAATACCGTACGGGACTCGCCGATTCCGTGCAGTGAATCGCGCGAGTCACTGTACAGAATCGTCCGGTTCTCTCGAGAACCGGACGATTTCCGATTTTTAGCCGATACGATCCACTTTTTGCGATTTCCGAGTCGAACCGGGCGAGTCCGGTTCGACTCGGCGTTTTTTAAAACATTGCCCTCAACTCAAAAAGTGATATCTTTTTTGATGAAAATACCCATTCTCGTACTTTCACCGTACGAACAAATCATTTGGACGGATCCCAATAATCCTTTCGCTGGACCGCGGTTGTTATTTGTTGGACTTACTACATATGTCGGACTGCATTGCTACAATACTGGATTGCTTATTTAGACAATGATACGCCGGACCACCCTACTCATATATCTAAAACGCCGTATTGAGACCATGAAATGCCAGACTTACGTCTCCAGTAGTAAAATCACCGGAGCAAAGTTCTGTAATGTTCGACCGCGAGTAAGATATTGCCAGACTGCATCCTTCCAGTGGCGGATAGATCGACCATAACGCTAGAGCGAAGCGGTGAAACGATGGGCTTAACATCATTCCAGAAACACATACCGGACCGTACATTGCAAACGCCGGACTGACCCCATTCCAGTAAGCAATTGCCAGAGCACTACTTCAAATCGCCGGACTGCCTACATTACAGTAAACATATTGCCAGACCGCGCACATACACTGCTGGACAACTGCATCAAAACACTAGAGTGATTTTATTACAGTACGCAAAACGCCGGATCACACCTACAAAATGCCGGACTGCCTACACAAACGTCAGATGGACGGACTGCCTACGCAAACGCCGGACTGCCTACGCAAATACCCTTTTTAACATAGAAGTTAAAAAAAAAAGGTAATTTTGTCTTTACTTTTATTTTTTTTTAGGTAGGGGGTATCAGTTAAAAAAGATTGGTTTTTGAGAAAAAGAAGTGAGAAAAGTACATAGAAGTTAAAAAAGGGGGTAATTTTGTTTTATTTTTATTTTTTTTTAGGTTGGGGGTATTAGTTAGAAAAGATTGGTTTTTGAAAAAAAGAAGTGGGAAAAGTTTAAGGTGGGGGTAAAGTGTCTAAAACGTATATTTTAAAAAATTTTCAACAATTTTATTAGGTAAGTGAGAAAGAGTAAGTCAGTAAAGATTTGGGCCATACTCTCTTGATGAGAATGGAGTTGAAGATTTCATCGTAAGAATCGTTAGTAAATACCGCTAAAGAAGGCCACGATAACTTAAAAACCACTAAATGCATTAATCCTTCAAAAAACACCACTTAATGCAATAATAGTTTCCGAAAAGCATTAAATGGTCAACTGTAATTGAGTCGAATGGCATTTCAACAAAATATGAGGGTCTTCAGAGTAAGGAACGCAGTGAGCATGCGGGCAGCCTGCATATTAGCCTGTGGGCAGCCTGCATATGAAATGTATATTCGATAATAAATATATTTTTTTAAGACTATAAAAAAAGTAAATAAAATTTTAAAATTTAAAATCAACTATTATATTAAAAAAAACATTTGAACGATTAGTTACGATTGTTTTTGAATGGACCACCTGGATGCTTTACACCTCTGGACCCTGAAGTGCGGTGGAGCCCACATGAGTCGATTGTTCTTAAAGAGTAATCAGGATCCTGCACACGCAAGAACACCAAAACCCTTCTGAAATCCTAGTACCAAAACAAACACATCCCTTTCCTTTTTCTCGCCAATTTTTATGCAAATGTCTGTCTATATAAAGGCTCCTGTGTCTTATCAAGTGCCAATGTCTTATTAGAGCTTCAAGATTTCATTTCTGTGTTTTTGTTTTCTCGACCCGAAAATGGAGAATCACAATCCCTTTCCTTCATCTTCTCTGCAAATTTTCATGGCTGCTTTATTTGGAGCTTCAGTCATGGCGATCTCCTCCTTTTACTTCCACAAACGCGCAGTGAACCACATTCTCGAGCGAGCTTTGCATTTTCGTCGCAAAGCTGTACGTTCGAGGTCCGCCATTGATGAAGCTCAGAGAGAACGAGAAGAAGAAGAAATGGAAAAGGAAGACGAAGAGGGAGAGGAGGAAGACGAGGATTACGATGGAGGAATAGGGTTTATAGGAGGGGCATGGGGGAGTAATGTTTTGCGTGGTGGTGAGAGAGAAGCCATGTGTTACAGGGTTTCGAGTTCAATGCCCGATGAGAAGCTTCTTCGATGGAGAGGGAGAAAGCCGTCTGAGTTGGTTAAGGGAGAAGAACAGAGGAGAAGAAATATGTCGATCGCCAATGGTTGCTCATCTTCTGGTAGACTCGATTGTATTCCTGATGGGATTACTAGCCTTCAAACTCAAGGAGAAGGTAGGGTTTCCTTTATGTATTGAAGTGGATGTTTGTTTATGTTGATTTTTAGGCTTGTTTTTACTCTCTTACACATGCACTGTGTTTATATGGATCCACAATTGCATTGAATTTCTCTTTACCTAAACCCTACTCTCTCTCTCTCTCTTC